TATTGGCGACCAATTTGTGCCAATCTGAAGAGCCACTATTGCTCGTTTCAACGGTACTCCTTATTGGAAAAATACCCAATGGAGTACCAAATTCTTCTATGCCTCCTTCTCTTTCAGTTAACAGCCTCAAGATTTCCATTGGAATATTAACAAAATTTCCTGCGAGTGTTCTTGGTAGTTTTTCTAACGATACATACGACTGTAGAATTAACAGTCTGTCCAATTCTTGATATGTTTGGATGCACCGACAAGCTTGCAACCATGGTTTAATCCAATTCTGTCCATGCTTCCTTTTAAGATTATGTTCTTGCTCCTCTCTAAGCAAGTTCCTTCCTTGTACTCTTCCATGTCTTTCTCTCAACTGATTTATTTTCCTGGATGCAATGCTCTCATTTTTATTAACCACAATCTTGCTTCAAACACTACTAAAATCGTCTTCTATTGCCAATTTTTTCACACGATTAGTAATTAATTCCTAACACTCAAAGCTATTATCACTCCCCGGCAACGGTGCCAAAATGTGATTGCTTGTTTTATTTATTTCGGAAGAAATCTCCCAGCATAAACCCGTATAGGGGGATTCGAACACGGGGAATGACTAGTTGCTTAAGCGTTCACATTAGGGTCACACAATCAATTACCTCCTGAATGTATCGTCTCTATTTCCAATATCAGAATACACAAAGAAACTATAATCTCTTCCTTCACCTTATCGGTCTCTTCCTTACAGCAATTCAATCATACCAATAACTGCTATTTCTACCAATATATTCACCCTCATAATCTCCAAATGTAATACTGCGCCCTCACAGCTTTCAACACACAATTATCCTCGTTCCAATCACTGAAATTCTTCACATAGAAGTGCCATTCACATTACAGTGTTTCACACAAATACAGATCCATTCTCTCTACTGAACTATAATCAAATTTTAGCATTCAATCTTTCTTCTTCTCAAATAATATCAATCACATTTCCATTCCATAATTCACTTCACAATATTCAAAAACTCTCAATCCTCTTATTCAAAGAAAATAACAAACAAAAGAAAAGAGGTAGCACCAAGCTTACCTCGGCTCACACTATCACAACAATGGCCCTCAGCTCACAATTCTCACAGTTTGGCCCTCGGCTTACGGCTCTCACAATCTGGCCCTCGGCTTATGACTCTCACAGTCTGACCCTCGGCTTACGACTCTCACAGTCTGGCATCCTAATTAACTTTTACAACTCTTATATACTTTTCCCTAATTCTCCAAATTTTAACCATAATTCTGTAATTAACCGCTTTTAATAAGTAAATCACTCATCTGTCCTCCTGAATTTCCTATTATATGGACTATTAATATATTTTACCAATATCTTTCAAAAACGAATTAATATCTATTCTACAAAGGGACATGATTTGGTGCAAATATTGAAGCACCTCCAATCATTTCTATATCTTCACTTCCTACTAATCTTATTTGCTCCTTTTGGTGGTAAATTCAATTGATGCATCACAAGCATTAACTCTCTCAATTGCTCTTGCATTTGTGCCATTGCACTCTTCATTTCAGCAAGTTCTGCCATGATAATACTTAGAAAAGAGAAGATGTCTAATATTGCTCAAGACAAATAGAAGAGAGGACTTGGGAATAAAAAAAAATACTAAGGACAATATCAGTTTAGAAGAGGGTAATCCGCAACTTTTAATATGCTTGTGTCTTATCAAGAAAAAGGGGTAATCCACTCTTAATCAAGATTAGACAAAGCTCTGATATTGTAAGTGTACTCTTGTCAATTTGTCAAGGACAAGAACATGATAAAGACAAATAAACAAGTGAGACTTCTCTCAAAGAAAGATGACAAAATAAAAATAACTTGATATATATATATATATATATATATATATATATATATATATATATGTGTGTGTTAAGAAAGAAACTGGAATGGCTATTGCCAAAAAGTCAAGAAAACTAGAGATCCTTGAAATTAGACTGGAAGCAAGAAAGGAGTTGATAAGAGTGAAGAAGGCTTCACTCTTGTCTCTATATATACTATCTAACTAGAGGCTACTTGGCGACGTTCTATAGGACCTCCAATATGTGTTGACTTTGTAGGACACATGCCTTGACTTATAAGGCAAGTTTTTCTATGTGTGGACTATATAGTTAATTTGGTCTTCAAGCTAACAACATGTGTGGCACATGGCTAACTTGTTGACCACGTTTTTAATCCAAAAAGTCAATTAAAGACACCTATAAAGTCAAAGCAATATTTTTAAAGCTTCTAGGAAGCTTCCATATCAAATATCATAGAATTAACTTACTTTTACCTACTTTTACTTACTTCTACCTATTTATACATGTAATTATTAGCTTACATGTATACTTCCGTGACACAAATATAATTTGTTGCAGCTTAAACTCTCTAAACATGTGATCACTACTCCTTATAGAACTTCTCCCTAGAAACAAGAATAATGTTACAAACATAATTAGTATTATTAATTTTTTAGATAAAAAGAATTAGACAAAGTAATTAAAAATAAATAAATTTGATAATATTTTTTGGAGATGCTTATTAGAAGCTTTATAGACACAGATTTGATCTATACATGTATATAGGTGGTTGATAGGTTAAAAACTTGGCAACAAAGATCCTATAGAATATTGTCACATAGTTTTTAATTAAATGATATATATAGAAGTAAAAGTGAACCTTCCTCATTCTTGTCAATGCTTTTCTTATTATTAGCCTTATTTCAAGAATCTCTAGTTTTCTTGACTTTGACAACAATCACTAGAGTTTTTATATTATAACAATCTTTGAGCAAATAATTACTCTTTTCTACTAACACAAGAATATATTGATTTTTTGGTCCTTTTGTGATTCATGTCTTTGATCCAATAGACTAATCAATTTTTGTGGACTTAAAATTTATCAAATAATGGTAAAAATTTTAATTTTTATCTTATTTTTTATTTTATGTATATATAAATATATATATATATATATATATATATCTTTAAATATAAATAAATAATTATATTTTTAAATAAAAATTAACATGGTCAATGCAATTATTATTCTAAATAATATTTTCATCTCTTTTCAATATATTTTTAAATTTGTTTGGACTTTATCATTTAATACAATCCAAAAATCAAATAATAGTGATATCTTAATTTGCATCAAAGTTATAAAGTAAGTTTGTAACAAAACATTAGTTATAGGTAGATTAAAAATTATCAAATTTATCAAATAAATAAAGATTCTATTTGTCAAGTGATTCATTAAATCATTGTAGCTTAGACACTTAAATATACAACAAATCTTGAGGCATAAACTTATAATGACTAAACTAATGACAAAAAAACAATGGTTTCATTTAAAAGTGTTCCATAAATGATTTAATAAATCATGAATAAAATATTAGATAAAAAATAATATAGAATTAATCATTTTTAATTTATAAAAATACTTTTTAATTTTAGAAATTTAAAAAAACTAAGAATAAATTTATATTTACTTAACAATATAAAAACATTTAGAAGCACCTTTCTTTTGTTTATCTAAATCATTGGCAAGTTTTGTCTAAAGATTGTATAGGTATATATATATATATATATAATGATAAGCATATATCAAAATTTATCTTTTAACTCTAATTATGTTGTATTGGATACATAAAAAAATTATTAGATTATATATATATATATATATATATATATATATATATATATATATTAGATGGCCGATCTAAAATGTTACAATATGACCACGACTTATTTAATCAACTTAAAAGACATTCATCAAATAATGATTTGAATCAAAATATCTTGGTTGAAGGTTTTGCTAAAATATTCAAGATAGCATTTAAGTCTAAAGAATTAAGTAAAGAAATAGAAGTGATTAAATTATTACATGGAGGCATTGGATGAATTATACTTTGATTTTAAAATGTACTACTTAAATTCTTTCTTTAATATTATGACATACGTAGCCAAATTAAATTTATAGTTGAATTAATTAAACCACAAGCAATGGAATCTACGAAACTTCACACTATAATTTAGTTGAACAATGTTTTGCTTTAAATTAGAACAATGTTTGGTTTAACCCAAGTGCACATAAAGAAGTTTGCTTATATAGCTAATTTAATATAGATGATTATAATATATGGATAGAGAATACAATTAAATTCTAGTATTTTATATTAATGTTTTTTTAAGCATGTCTTGTAAAAATGAGAAAATTTTATATAAATTATAAGTTTACTCAATCTAGTTGTATTTTGGATTTGGATAATATCTTTGTTTAATAAGACTTTTCTAATATTAAGAGACTATGAGTTGTAGAAGGCATTTTGATAGAAGCAAGAGATATTTGCTAGCAAATCTCTACTTGGATTATATTATTTTAAAACAATATGGTCTTTCCTTAGGAAACTTTACTTACAAACAATATGGACTGAAGAAAACATCTTTATTTTAAGGAAGAGAAGTGGAAAAATATTCATAGAAAAAAAGTGATTTGGAACAAACTAATAAAATATGACAAAATTAGATAGTAAATAACTTATAACAAAATAGAAAAACAACTGGACAATTGTGCAACATTATTGTTCCAAAAAAACAAATCATGGACAACCAAAAGCATGCTAAACATACAAATTGAAATAAAAACTGGGTAAAGTACTAAAATGCCACAAAAGAATCTTATAATGCATGTTGCAAAGCAATAGCTAAATGGACAATTTAGGATTTATGTTGGCTTTGTAAGTAGGTATTATGTGTGCTTGGTTCCAGCCTGGTCTGACAAAACATTGATATTAACTTTGTTCCTGTTCTTTTAATTAATTTAAAGCATCAAGTTATAATCTCATTTTGTGTCAAAAAGAAAAAGAAATATAAAAAAACGGATAAGAAAAGCTCAAATAAAGAATATGTAGGCCACAAATAACTATTCCTTTGCACCAATATTTTGGTACAGATCCTTTTTAAAGAGAAGATATCAAGAGATTATAAACTTTTTTTTTTGAAGAAAAAACACTAACCACTTCCTCAAAGACAATGCATTCTCTGAAGAATCTCTACACAGTAGACTATCTTTCATCGCAGGGTTGTCCAAAGTACTCTCCAAAACACTCTCTTCCTCCTTTGACGCCCACTATTAAGGTACGTGACAACGTATTTGCACTTTGGTGGACATCAATATTTTCATTCTTGCAAGAGGCACCACAACGTGTCATCGCCAGGTTCCAGTAACTCATCTACAGGAACACCTGAAATCACATTAAGTTCTACGCCTCTAGGTATCTTCATTCAACTGCGTTACTCCGGAGAAAGGATTCAACCTAGGTAGAAGGCATAGCTAACTCATAGTAACATCTGAACAAGTTATTCACGTGCAATTCACCCTCAACAAAAAACTGGGACTCATGTGAACTCCTTCAGAAGAATCTAACTAATTCCTCCCTAATATATCAAGGTCAGCATAAACACAACCTTGACAGGTGAAAAATTGAATAAGACCTAAAAATATGTTCTGTTCAGCTCAAAACTAAGTCTCTGACACCACCATTCACTGAATGGGTGTGGTCTTTCTCGCATTCAGATTCGACCTTTCCATTCTCTGAGTGATTTGAGTCTTGTATGTTTTCCAGTCGTGCTGCAGAGCATTTGGCACCTTTAAAATACGTTGAGAAAGGGAACAACTTTCCACAACGTGCTGACCATTCTGCAATTTCAGACATGCGAAAGTTATAACCAAATGACCCACTATGAAAGACATGAATTGGTACATATTCCATAAAGGTGGAATCAGAAGTTTGTAAAGTAGACAATATCCCTACAAGAACTTCGCGAGTTCAGAGTACAGTATTGTTCATACAACAACGATCTTAAGGTCGCAACCACAATTTCAATAGGCTTACTTGTTGCTGCAGCTTTATCCCCGAATGAATTCTCCAACAATTGATGTACTTCTACGCAATTTTTCAGAAACCATTCGCTCGCAGCGTCATTTGACGCTGATGCAACCCTGGTTTTAAAAGCCCCAAAACACGGTTCAATCAGATATGTCAGAAAGGGTGTACCAGATAATCTAGCACCTGTAATTTGCTTGACACCAAGAACTATGGCAGTACAAGCTAATTGAACGTACCTTTCAGGCGACTCTTCAATTATCTTAATTGCCTCAGACTTAGCATCCGGACAGAGAAGAAGATGAATCTCTGCTGCAGCAACCCTATGCTGCAGGGAATCTGTATTATACATAAGAAATTCATACACCAACATGGTTAAAACTTTCACGGGTACTCGCATTCAAACAACACCTACGCATTCAAGGACTACAAAGCCAGATAAAAGTGTTAAAGTGATGTCGATGATTTTCACTTTGACAATAGATGATAAACGCCATGGTTTTGGCTAATCAAATATGGAGAGCATCAAACAGACGATGTACAAGGACAGTGAAACTAACCGCGATAGGTCGCAAGGAAATCTCTGTTTGCGTCAAGAAGAGATTTTTCTCCGAGTTCCCTGAAATATAACACATACATGATAAAACTGAGATAACATACCCTTGAAAAAACATGATTTACAGCAAAACCAATTCAGAAGCAACTTCTACCGAAACCATGGAAATTAGCATCTTTGATACACAATCAAAAAGATGTCTCACGATCACACGAAATAATTAGAAAACTTACTGCATTGATGCTCTCTCTATAGCAATCACATCATGAATAATCTTCTCGGCATGAGTATCTGGACTTCTTAATTTGTCCAATGACTCGAACAAGCGTATCTGAATCACAATCACAACGATAAATATCTCAGCACAGCTTTCATAAGCAATTAAATAATTCACAATCATCACAAATTCTGGAGAAATAATCCTAAAGCCCCCGCTGTACTCAGAATGTATCACATACATTAACATGCAAGGGAGGAGAACAAAGCGCACAACAGAAACCACATATCTAATAAGCATAAAGATGGCCTTGTAATTTATCAAAACAAACAAAATCTAAAACATTTTTTTCCACAAAAATAAATAAACTCACCAAACAACGGTGTACATCAGGGCTGCTTGGATCTAATGCCAACTGTTTCTTCACAGCCTAAGAACCCACAGCACAGAAGTTTCCACTCAAAGGATAAGCATTTCGATAGAGCATAGTACAAAAATAAGTGTTTTCAAAAGAAACAAAACAACTATAGGCAAGAATACCAAAACATTCAGATGATGTATAATTACACAGCGACATCTAACTGATACATAGATGGAATATAAATGGAATACCTGAAGAGCAAGCAATTTCTTATTTTTGCGGAAGTACACTTCGAAGGCAAGCAGATGGGTTTCAATAGCATCTGCTGAGTGTTCTTGCAAAAGTCTCAAATACTTTAGTGCTTCGCTTAAAGGATCTTCAACCTGTACACATGAGTATAGATGACACAACGTATATTACACAAAAAGCGCTGTGGCATATAACCATACTTGTAGAAACGTTCAAAGAGTCCACTTAAAAAATCAAAAGTACAATCCAAAAAAAAATATGGCAGGATTCAAATACGAAGCTTCTGCCCTAACACATATACACGGAAAGAATAGACACACATTCATCAGTTTGTCACCATCCGGATCCGTATCTACAGGTCGAGGTGTCTGTGCCCCCTTCTTCCCTGCTTTGTTTGCAGCAGCGTTAGCGGCAAGTTCTTCCAATTTGACCTTTTCTTCTGCCTCCTGATAACGACAAGAAAGATGCAACATTCTAAAGTCAATACAAAACGGAGTAAATGGCAATGATTCAATACACAAAATAAGCGCAATACCAAGTCTCTTATTGAAATGGCTGTTATGCTTGTGAGTTTAAGCTGTTTGACATTTCCAATATGTGATGAAGAAATAAAGTACACTTGAATCAATCAAACATACATTTAACATCAAAGCAATCTTAGGTAGGATAAGATCACTAAAACATCAAGACTTTTGTTTCGGGAACGAAATATCTCAGCAAAATCTAGCACAGAGCAAATTACAGGCCATCATCAACAAGTGATGGTTAATAATATTCAATCACTTAGGAAGGTAATGACTTTCACACGTAGATAACCTAAAGATGACTAGATTAGAATTTGTACCTTTTTAGCTTTTGCTTCTGCTTTGCGAAGTTTCTGGCGCATTTTCTTCCGTTCTGCAGTTGGCAAACCAGCTAAAGCTGCTTCGTGCTCTTCTACTGCAGTCTTCGGGGGCGAATCATGGAGTTTAATATAACATCTAAAAAACAAGACGCATGTTAGATACTGGAGATCAACTAGTGTGCTACATAACTCAAATGACTCATGTCAGCAAATAACGGGAAAATGCACTTGACATTTTGTATTTAAAATTTTTAAATACTCTAAAATAATAAATGATTAAAATCCAGGATTTACAATCCAACTAAAGCAAGACAGAACAATTACTACGAAATAGTTTTCAGTCAAACACTTCAATGTAACAAACACAAAGAAAAGTACCTGATGATCGAAGTAGCAGCCCTAAAAAAGAAACGATGCGAGTGTAGCTGATCCTGGAAGCGCAGCATCCGTATGTATGCACGCAAAGTCATTTTACGTAAGCAGTAAGTGTGGAAGTCAAACTGATCCTCAATCATGTCATTGTAGTGTTTCTCCACAAGCAAGTATTTCTTTAAAGCCTTGCCCATATTCCCTTGACGGAAATGGCTGTCACCGGATGCCAGCTCGTACCTGAAAAATAGCAGTTACATCAGGCGCCTCTTGCCCTTCTTTGTATCTACTAGTATCTTCCAAGCTCTATAGAATCTCTTAAATTTTTTCCAAAGATGATATTAAATGCTCACCACATGCATTGCATGTCGAATAAGTTGTTGTGTTGATCACCATCCCTAGTGAACAGTACAGCCGTTTTCTCCGCAATTTCGACCTAAGGGAACACAATTGGACTGAACTCGTAATAAAATTTCACTGATATATAAAAAACGATGTTTAAGGAAGTGGATAGAATTATTCAAAGACGTAAATTTAAAGGAAACTTGAATAGGACATCAACAAATGATGAAAATTATTCGAACCAACCACAGGTACCTGGTCAGCTTGCAACATGCGCTTCACACATTCACTGTTCAAAAACCGGTCAGCAAGATCCATAGTTCGTGCTTCATTAGCCAAAGCTGCAGCGGCCGTAGGATCCCCGGCATGCTTCAGTATTCTTCCCTGTCAAAGGGTAGACAGTATTCATGCTTACAGCACTAAATAAAACGGACAAGAGAGCCAGAAAGAAAAATTCCAAACCATGACTTAAACTAGCAAGAAATGAATGACAAATAGCTTGACAGAATCTTCCACTAGTGTCGAAGGTTATTTGAACTGTAAATGAGTAACCTTGTAACCATGAATAAAAAATTCAGAAAACAAAGAACAAGAAATAAAAGCCCGAAATATCCTCAGAATATTCAAGATCAGCACCTTCACAAGGTAAAAGTCGATAACTGTAGGCGTGTGCTCAATTGCTTGGTTAATGTAAGAATAAGCCTTTTCGTATTGACGTATTTTATCGAAATGCTGGAATAGATTTCCACACACAAGACACGTTTGAGATTTCCTTTTCAAGATCCAGTTGTCAATTACAATTGTACGACAGAAGTCATCCTTGAAATTTTTGAGACTTCACACCTGAGCTAGAAGACAAAGGGTCCACAGATATGTTGAGGGAGCCTCGACGTCAGAACTGGAAGATAGAAATACAATAGTAAATGATCAACCCAGTGATTTCCGTTAGTCGTACTAACATACTCTTTCTAGGTTAGATTACATTATTGGGAAGAACCACAAACATGAAGCAACAGATTTTACTGAAATGTGAGATAAGTTTCACTATCAAGGTTAATTACCACATAATCAATCATAATTTACATACCAATCTTAACTGAAAATACTCCAGAAAATGACCCTAATCGCTAGACTAACCTTAACTTGTTTATTTGGATTTTATGTGATTTTTAAAATGAAAAAAGATATCGGTGAACACCTGCCAGGAAATGTCTTCGAGGTCTGTAAGGAAGACACGACTTCAACAAAAACCTCCTCCAAAATCTCATCCTGCAAAGAAGAGTTGGACCATTAGTGGAAGGAATACCACAATTGCATTTCATTACGTCATGATTCGTAGAATTCAACAACACAACTAATGCCATCGAAGGAGTGAGCAGGAAAGACGCCATAATACTAAATTATTCATCTTCGCAATACATGTTTTAGTTTACAAAAAAACCGCACAAATCTGCTAAGCACACGGCAACGACCGCTTGGCGATTATGTTTCAAAGAACTCCAACGACCTCAGTTCGATATCAAAAATATAGGGGTTCCGTCAAAGCAATACCTTTCGAGGATGACTATAAAGTGGACGAAGATCAGTAAAAAGTGAGGGCACACCCTGAAACAAACATGAAAACTTCATTAACACCAACACTTCTTTACTACCAACAAAACCCCAACAGCAAATGCAATTCTAACAAGAAAGATCCAATAATTTTCAGCTCACAGGGTACGCTCTTAAGTGCTTCAGATTAAAAACAGATAGACGGAACGAACCTTTTTTAAGAACGGACGAATATACAAAGTAACTGCTGCTTTAAATGAATCTTCTTCCAAGAAATCCAAGGGGATACGCTGCACACAAAGTCCCGACAACTATTCAGAGCCAGTTCATATTCTGTGCGTTAGCATATGGGCTGGCCAAAACATTCTATCACATAATGTAACAAGTAAACCAACAGTGCGGGGTATTGAATGCCATTAAGCATCACCGAGGATGGAGCTAGAACAAGATATGTATTGAGTGCTAACTATCTGTCTACATGTCGTCATGATGCAACATCGCGGCAGAAATGTCATGAACGTTTAAAACACGTACAATAACAAGTTCTGACCTTAGCAGCAGCAGAGCGAGGGTACTTTCGGCGAAGACCATCGTAAAGTTCCACTAGCTTCTCTACCTGCTCGGAGGTATACGCTTTACCATTTGGAGTCAATCCAAGACATTTCTGAAGGCCCTCATAGTACCTGCACCCAGAAAATCATTTCAATGAGAGTAAACGGTCATGGAATCAATCGAATAATGATGATGGTATTTTCTAGAAGTAATTTACACCCAAATGTGAAATTGAATTTTCAAAACCACTAAATATTAGTACACTCACAACTTACAGGTAATTGTCGGGATTAATATCAAGAAGTTTCCGATAAATATCTTCTGCTTCAGCTGAACGGTTAATTTGCAAGAGCAGCGATGCCTTGTGTTCTCTGAGTCCTAACTTGTCCACCTATGACAAACACCAAGCATAAGGTTTAGTTTATGAATTCTCCGCACACATTGCACGAACAATTCATACCTATGGCTAGTCAACACAATCAGAAACTAATACAGTAGAAGCCAATGAAATTCATAAAAGTGCTAATTACTCTAGTCAATCTGATTATTCAGAACACCCACATTTCAACAACATATCTACTCCAAGATATTGAGCATTTGAATAAAAACAGCTGAACCAACATACATTTAAACATTAAGAATCTATCCACAACTTAAAACCTTAAACGATAATAATCATTGAAAAAATTTAAATATTAAATCAAACAGGTAAAAACAATTCAGGCTTGGTTAGAAGTAGAAAAGACATACGATTTTCCCTTCGTTCTTCGCAAGTTCTTCAAATGCTTTCTCTGGTTGCCCCGCTTCTTCCAATACAGTAGCCTAATTTTCATCCAAAAATTGCACAGTTTGAGAGGAGAACACAACAAGCACAAATTCAACTTTCTAAATCAATGTTTCACTTTAAAATTCAACACACACACACACACACACACACAAAAAAAAAAAAAAAAAAAAAAAAAAAAAAAACGGGGGGGCAGGGGGTCTGCATATCGAAGCGCCACTGTTATACATCACAAAACTAACCCACCATCACAAACTAAACCACGTCAATAACGTCGTTACCTTGTAAAGTAGCATTTCGCTGTGCTCGTAACGCTCACTTTCAGGGGGGAAATCCTCCTCCAAGGTGCCTTCATAAGCGTCCAAAATACTTACAGCCATCGCAGGTCTAATACAAATCCAGGGTTAACTAATTTATACAAATAATTTAAAAAGAAAATACTGTAGATTGCGTCGTTGAACGACGCGCTAAATTCTCTCAGAAAACCGAGCACCAAAAGTGTTTTCGTATTTCAAATACAAATACGTACGCAGAGTTAGAAAGCATTACTCATGATTTACGTGATGAGCAATGGCGAAGCCAATCCAATTGTTGCGATGACTGGGCTTCAATGTCAGCAACTGTCTCCTGGTCTCAACAAACCCAGGTAGCTCCCGCATTTGTGCCTGCAAATTGCAAAAGCCTACTCCTTAGAAATCAAGGTCACCAGCTCAGAAGAAGGATTACAGGTGAAAAACGGCGAATCCATCAAAATGCAGTGAGGAGAATATCATGAGCCAATAACGCGATATTCAATATCAAACCTGAAGCAGCGATAAATCCCTAAGGATTTGAATATTCTGTGAGTCAATTCGAAGAGCACATCGATAACACTTGATGGCCTCCCGATAATCTCGGTCAGAACGGTATAGAAGTCCATAGACGTGCCAACACACATGACTCTTGACATCGTTCTGCACGAACTCAAAAGCATTGATATGAGCATTAACAGTCATTAGAGCGTCAAATAATGGGATATGATTGACCTCAGGAGTACATACAATATTGCACATGTAACGTGTGACGGAGTGAGGACAACTTTAAACTTTCAATCGCAAAACTTTAGACACGGACCTTCAAACCTTTACGGACAAGCTCATAAGCCTCTGATTTCCTGTCCATGCAATTGAGGGTCAAACCCTTCATTGCAAGAGTTTCTGCGATAATCACAAGCATGATCTTTAATCGCACAATTATAAACAGAATGGACATAATTAAAGCATTACAAAACTTAGAATAAAACCACTGGGATCTTAATAACAAGCAGTTCATAAGCACATGACTGTCAACACAATCTGAACTGCAGAAGACTCTAAAAAACTGAAAAAAGACTTTAGATTACCTCCATGCTCAGGAAACTTCCGAAGGATTTGATCTGAAGCCTTTAAACCTTTTTTGTATTGCTTCGTTTCATATGATTTCTGAGCACATCAAAACAACAAGCTCAACCTTTTTAGTTGGCAAACACGCACTACTTCAGACATAAAACTTCTAACAACACTATGCCGTAATTGTGCTGAGCCAACGTGCAAAGGTGCTTGTGTCTACAAAGGGGTCAACTTTTTAAGTGATATCTACAATCAGCCTCACTAACTAAACTATACTCTCTCCAGTTGAAGTTAGTCATATATATATATATATATATATATAATCTTCACGACTTCTTCGATCACCCGTGAAAGTGCTCCATACAAAGCTGTGAAAGAATAAGCCACAAATTTTATCTGAATTGTGGGCTTATGATTCTCAAGAGCAGTTTCTTGCAAAACTAGAGTAAATTCAAAAATTCAAAACGTCGTGAATGTCCAAAAAGGCTCTTATGACTTAACCCAGAACCTCATACGTCTTGACATTGGTTTGAAAAAGTAATGTGATGTAGGACTTCTAATTATATAAAACTAAATCCTTCGAATAAAAATAAAGGAACTGAATGCAAGTCCTTAATAATGTTCCCTTAATTTTAGTATGACGCAAGCTAAGTTTCAGAGCATAAACCCAATACAAGAGTTCCAATTTCCAAAACATAATCAAAAGAAATCAAAGAAGTTATTTTCATAAGTTAACCACTACACAGCACGCTCATGAAGAACGTAAATTACAATCCCAACGCCTAACTCACAGCAAACTTCTTCGGCAAAAGCTACAACACAGATCGAAATACCAATACAAATAAACTAAACTAAGAATTCCTTTCTGATCCGATGCTAATTCTCAAAATCATGGTAGCTGCACCAAGAATAACAAAAATTCCAAACCGACAATCATAATCTATGACCGCAAAACGCTTACATAATGTTTTTCATCCAACACAGAAAGCATTTCCCCTGTTTTCTCCCGAACCAAAATCTCTACAACGACGAAAATCGCCCCGCCCAAACCGAAAATCTCTCCAACACCGAACACAGACTTTGAAAGCTCAACGTACCACGATGAGCTTGAAGAGATTGGCCTCCTTAGGAGGTAAGACTTGACCGCCCATTGTTGACGATTATTGATTCGAAAACCAGAGCCTCGGTTTAAACAGTCAATCAGTCAATTCCCCGTTGCAGCAGCACTCTCCTTCGAGTAAATTCGCCTAAGCACGTACCACTCCGGAGAAATCAAATCCTCGGGTGACACACGACTCCGATCGAAGAAGGTCCGCCGACTCGAACCCCGGGAGATACCGCCACCCCTATTCTACCCCGATGCACATAACTCGAGCTCGACCTCCCTCTCGTCTGTCTCTGCAGGCACCCATCATCCGCAGTCAGGCATTCGTATCTCCCCGTATAATCCACCTTTTAGGGCTGACTAGGACCCCTTGTGTTGGCTTTGTGGTTGACACCCTGTCGAAACCTGGGGAGACTCGCAGATAACCTCTCGCCCGTTCTCAACATCTATCATTCGGGGGTTCTCCTTCCAAAGAGTAAACAAATAAAAAATACTTTCACAAATTATCCTAAATAATTAATGTTTTGCATGTATTTAAATAAAATAAATAGATAGTGTATATTTATGATGCATATAATTTTTCTGATGATATTTTTTTAATGATTGTCTAAATTTTGAATGATGCCCTCTCTAACTATATGGGGCCATATGTCAAGTCGAATTTATTCCCTCACTTCAAACGTAGATTTTGATATTAAAAAAGTAAAATAAATAATAAAAAACTTACATTTAACACAAATGCAATCATCCGAGTGGTATATTTTAGTAATTTTACTTGCTATAACTGTAAGAAAACTGCTTCACGTATGCTTAATAAAATTCATTCAATATAAAGATCAACAGCCTTTGTGGTTTCTGTTAATGCACACAATTGAATTTGTGAATATTTTGTATTTAAACAGCTAAAGCTGCACATAAATGTTACTATACTGGTTACCTAAATAACTAACGAATTTCACAGTTTTTAAATATGTATTGGATTTTGTGTAATTTTAGAGTAAGATTTTGGAATTTTTTATCGTATTCTTTGACTTAACCCATTAACGTCACATTCACAAATAACAATATAAAGTTAAAAAGTTTACGTAAAGAAATTGCTCCCAACTTGTAAATTTCTTGGAAACCAAAATTAATGGTTCATGATGTATATATACATATGTATAATGAAAATGATGTACTTTTGACAAATAGTGAGTAAACTCATTGAATCTTTTAAAGTCTGCATGTGCTTGCAATTGTGGAAGTATTGAAAGCATCAACCACAACACATGCTACATATTAAAGTTGTTCATTTTTGTACAATATATTAACAACAATACAACTTGGTATAGATAATTTTTTCAATGAGATGGATGAGAAAATATAATTTACTGCATGTGTGTGTTTGTACATGTATATATGTATGTATACTTGCTTCTGAACACATAGGCAATGTTTTTTGCATGGTTCCGAGCATTACAATATTTACCAGTGTTTTTGTTTCTATTTTATTATTTTCGATTTTGATTTTTTGAATTGTTTTGTTTTTGTATTTTTTGTCTTAACTGCCCGATGAGTGATTTTTTTAGATGATCATGTTCAGCAATTAAAACACACACACACACACACACACATATATATATATATATATATATATAATATTGGAGATTTTTTTAATTAATTCATATTATTTTTTGTGCACTTTATTCAATCTAACTAATTTATTTGACTCAACATGCGTGTTCATTCCATTTTGTTTATGTTTCTTTTAAAAAAATGTTGATGGTTCATAAATCTCTAAAGCATGAAAGTAATCAACAAATAGCTTAGTTAATAAACTATTTTATTAAAGAAACAAAAAAATTACTACACACTATTGCTGAGCAACATCCACATTTTTATTTGGAACTTAACAATTCACTTACATAATCAAATTTATGAATATCTAAAATACCATAAATAATGTATATATATATATATATATATATTAGATGTGTATGTCTTGTTGATAATTCAGTTCTTTTGGCGTAAAGTCTCAATCTCATGAAAAACAAATCATTCATGTATAACTTGAACTGTGTGCTAAAAACATCATACAAATATACAATTGTATATACAAATTTGAAAGTTTATTCCTATAAATAGATCCGACACATGAGTTTGTTGGTTATGAATGTTATAATTAAAAACAGAAAGATTTAATCTGTAAATGGACTTACACAATAAACAAGCGGACATTCACTGGTCAACTTTTGGCATGCAAAGTGGAAAAACATCTTTAAAACATATACTTTATCATAACCCAGAATTCTAAAATTGAACCGACAATCTATAATAAAAACACATGAGACAGACATTTGATGTTTCTAACTGTAGATCTTTACACCTGGGAAATATGGGTGAGAAAGTAGCAACTTTCAAATCTTTTGATTGGCTAAAAATGAGAAGCCCCTTGCCTTTCAGCCAATCAAGTTAAAGACCCCGGAGTATTATACATACCCAGAAGAATTTAATAGAAAAGGCTAATCACGAATATTGGATTCAGGTGAGATTATAATGGCACTTATAAATAAAAAACATAATAAAAAGGGCGAGTGAATGCAGTGAGTGAGAGGGTAGAATTATTTTTCCAACGAAGGCGGTAGAAACGTATGGAGTGAGAGTTTTACTGCGGGGAGTGAAACTGGGTGGGGTGGGTAATTTGGCTGCTGGGGTGATTGTTTTTATTTATTTATTTATTTATATTTATTTTTTACTTACTTGTCTCTCATTTGGCTCGTCCTCCTCTCACTCACTCCAGTTGCTTGCTGGTCCACCATGTTCTTTTGCTTCCCCTGAACTACTTTACTTCTTCTTCTTCGTCTTCGTGTGCCCTTGTTGTTGTATCACTACTGTCCAGGTTAGGGTTCAAGCCTCTCAGCCAGAGAGCTAGTTTCCTGCACGTCTTGAGGTTGCGAGCTTCGTGGACGCAACTCTGGCTGGTGGAGACCAGAAATCTGGAAGGAGGTGGAGACTGGAGCGGGTTTTGGCGATCTGATATAATTTTTTTTGGAAGAGAATAAAATTTTCATGTGACGCGCTCGTCTTCATTGCCCGTTGGTGCGTGTGTGCGTGTGCGGTGTCCAAGCGTTTTGCGTTCCAGGTTTCTTGATTTACGAGGTCGCGGGATTGGGAGGTGGATTGAGTGCGTACGGCTAGTGTTAGAGGTAATTGATAGCGACCGAGTGAGCTCTTAATCTGGTTGCTAGGTCGAGTTTCTAATGCGGTGTAGGTTCGGGTGCTTTGATTGCGTGATGAGTGGTGTGTTGTATCAGTGGTTTTTTCTGTTTTGTTTTGTTTTGTTTTTTTCCGTTAGATTGAATCAGGGTTAAGGTCTCAACCTTGAACATGTTTGTTCCGAGTAGTGAAAACGCACATGGTACCGCTTGTGTGCTATGTTCTTAATCCGTGTTCCGATTTGCGGTTGCTGGTACCTGCAGTAGAGAAATTTCAAATTTGTGTTTGACGCGACTTGATAAGTATTAGATTCCTCTCATGGGACTATCTGGATCAGAAGTGAGGGCATGTCAACAGTTATATGCTTCGTCTTGTTTATTTTTATTTTTCCTTTTTTAATAAAAGTAAAATTCTACATTTTTTTTCTTAATAAGAACTTAGGTATTTTTTCGCTGGCCTTGATAATTTAGAAATCCCCAATTAATTGGGCTGTTCCCGGGGTACTTTTTCATTAATACTCTAATGTTGTACAGGACGCAAGTAGTTGTTAGTAGGAGAGCAAGATGGCGAATAGGAACCGCATGCCAGTTCTCAATGCACGGTCTGGTCATCCTAACGGTGTTAGCCGTCCTGGTCCTTACGGTCCAGTTAGACCACAAATGGGTGGGCCTCCCCCAGTTATGCCTGGGCCGCCTATGCCGGGCATGTTAGAGCAGAAGATGCAAAGCCAGCACGATGAAATACAAAGCCTTCTGACAGCAAACCAACGGCTTGCAGCAACACATGTGGCTCTTCGGCAGGAATTGGCAGCAGCTCAGCAAGAAATGCAACGTCTTAATTCTGTTATTGCAGGTGACCTTAGAAGGAACTGTTAGTACTAACTCATGGAGGTTACAGTTGAGGTTTCACCGTCGCTTAGTATTTTTCGTCTTGGTCCTATAAATTTTGGTCAGTCGAAGAGAGCATGAGATTGAAATGTAGCATGCTTGACTCTGTTCCTAAATTTTATGCACTCTGCAACTTGTACCAGCTATTTGAACACGTTCTGATGTGTTCAGAATGAACAGCGTTATTGGAGAGGTCTTGATGTGGTTAGTGTCTTTTTTTGACTGTTACGAGTGTCGATGAATGCAACGGGGCATTCCAATGTTTTCAGGGACTCAATTTTTTATATTGTATTGTATTTCATGGCTATTTAGTTAACCTCTGTTGTTTCGTCTAGTTAGTTTTGGTTTGATAAGATTGCATTCTTACAGTGCACTTGTTTAAATCAACAGGTATATCCTCAGAAAAGGAAGCTCAGGTTAGGTCTCTTCTTGATAAAGCTGCGAAACTTGAATCAGACTTGCGATCGACAGATCCAATCAAGCAGGAGCTTCTTCAAGCTCGCGCAGATTGTCAAAAGTTGCACCTTCATTCTCAAGATTTAAATCAACAAGTTCGGAATACATCTCAAGAGTTGCAGCGAGCCCGAGGGGAGTTGCAACAGGTTCCGGCACTGCGAGCGGAGGTGGATAATCTTCGCGCCGAGTTGCAACGAGCCAGGTTTTATGTTTATCCCAATCAAGTTCTACTCGATTTTAATTTTAAGCGAACAGTTCTTTCCCCTTACACTCATTATCACCTTTTCAGAACTGCGTTTGAATATGAGAAGAAAGCAAATGCCGAGCAGTTGGAGCAAAGACAAGCTATGGAAAAGAACCTTGTGGACATGGCAAGAGATTTAGAGAAGCTTCGAGCAGAAGTCACTAATGCTGAGAAGATGGGACGTTTTCATTCTGGTAATATTATTTCACTTTGCTCGGGCACTTCGTGTTTTGTGTGTTTTATTATTTGGTGTTGGAATCTTCATGTATTGAAGGTTTCCTATTTCAGTTGTCGTCGCTACTGCGACTTCTGTGATTGGCATTTGAGCTTGTTGTGAGGTAGTCATTTGTAGAATTTGTTGGTCAGTTGACCTTTATGTTTGCTCTTAGGCTACACATGTAATTGGTTCATATGGTTGAACACTTCGGATATTCAGGTGGTCAATTCAATGGGGCGTATCCTGGTTCGGAGGCTTCGTACGGTTTAATGCAACCACAGGTTTATGGAGATAGTTATGGGATGCATCCTCAGGTATGAATATGAATCGAGTAAGTTGAGTGGATGAGATTAGTATCGTCGTTGTGTAGTACTCTTTTGGAACTTGGACATGCATTTTGGCTTTCCTTGATTTTAAGCTTCAGCATGCATGCGGGTCTTTCCTACTGCCGATTTCTTGATTTGACCATAGAACTGGTGTGCTACAATATTTTACTAGAGGAACAATACGTAAATAATATCTGCTAGGGATGTCTTAAATTTTAGAAGCTCCACTAAGAAATATGTGACCACCAAAATCAGTTTCCATGTTTGTGTCACCCACTGCCGTTGTCCGCATCCGCAAGGTTTCAAGTATTGCAGCTTAATGCTAGCTATTTATTCGTGTGTTTGTTTTCTCCTTTCTGTGTGAACAAGGCTAGTTGTATCTCACATTCTTCACATCCGTCCAGATAGCAGTAGGCCTAATTGGCAGGAAGCATGAAAATTGACTCAACTCTTTTCTACTGCATCGCAGATGTCATGGTTTTTCCGCAAAGTCGTGAACTGTGTGTAGGCTGTTTCTGCACACATTTTTGTCGGAAGCATCAGCTACTAGGAGTGATGACGTGGTCTTGTAGTAATTGTTTGCTGTTGATAGTCTCCTAAGTGTAAATATGATATCTTCAGTCTGACCTTTTTCTTCACTCTCATTACAACTTATCTGGTGCAGGAAGCTGGTCCGGCATCAAATGGCCATCTTTCTGCCAATTCAAGCGACAATGATTATGGAAAATCCCTCGTGGAGGCTGCTAAAGCTAATTCAGGACAAAATGCGAACAACGGTTACCATGCTCAAGTACATGATGGTCATAACTACAAGGCAGCCTCCGACTCAAAAGCTGAAGAATGGGCTACTTATGAAGCACCGAATGGTAAACCGTTTTATCACAACTTGATCACAGGTGCAACACAGTGGGAGAAACCGGCAGCTCTTGAGGGCCATAATTATGCTCAGGTGATGATCAAGCAAGGTCGGATGTTTTGTATATAGTTTATTTTGGCTTGCTCGTTGGTTGCATTCTTTTCTTATCCTGAAAGACTATAGTACCATGTCATGCAGGTTTGGATTCTTCCGAACTGAATTTACATTTCTTCTTTAATTGTAGTTTTATTTTGTTTTATTGTTCTTCGACACGTTTGACATGGCTTTATGTTTTGGTTTTGTTACAAGTTTTTATGTTAGACACGACGTCTTTGTACGCAAGCTTGCGTGTGAAAATTACATGTGATTGCTCTATTCGTTTAATTAGTAGGCTAAAACTTTTCTCTGGCGGAGTTTTGGATGATAGGCCCACGTACAACTTGGGACTAATCAAGCTGCTGCAAATCAGCCTCCCAATCCTGTGCTCAATGGGCAAGTCCAGCAAAGTCCTCTTATGACTCATGTTCCACAGCATCCTGCTGCTGGTGTAATTCAAAACTCTCAGCAACAGAACATGGTACATTCTGGCCAGGCGCCTCAAATGGCGCTTGGGCAGCATCCAGGAGGCTACATGACTCACATGGGAGCTCCTTTGCCACAACCTGGCATGTATGGCCAGCCTCCAGGACCGTACATGTCATATGCAGGTGATGCCTCTTTTTCTGACAGATAATTCGTCCCTATCTTTTACATGTTCTCGAACGAATGTCTTGTGTCTTACAGTTTCTGCTCACATGTATATTCGAATTTAGAGATATGTGACGTGCTTATAAAATGCATATCTCGTGATCAGGTACCTATATGTACGGGGGGTCTCACGTCCAACAACCCGGTTCTTACATTCAACCATCTGGATTGGCTCCACTACCAGTCGGTCAACCACAACATCCTTTGGCCCCTTCAGCCGGTCAAATGCAGACCCCACAGAATCCCTATTCACCCCCTCTATTACCGGGGCAAGGGCAATCCACTGGAGGTACAGCACCTGCTCCCATGCCCCACCTCGTCCATGGTCATCTTAGTTACCCAGCACCTGGAGCGGTTCCACACCCTGGTCCCCCGCAAACCCCAGGAACTCAATTGTCTCCTCTTATGCCGGTACCCTTGGGACAACCGCCACTGCTGCAATCTCCCCAGGCTCAGCCCAACCAGCCTGGGTCCCGACCTGTAGGCTTCACTCCTTCCAACGTCCAGCAGCAGCAGCAACAAAACCAGCAGAGCTCACAGCCTTCACCAAGGCAAGCTCAAAATCAGTCTCGAGCATCGTCTCAGCCATCTCCTTCATCATCAACTCCATCTCAGACACAAGTTCAGGCGACGATTCCACCTGCAGGACACACTCCTCACGGTACTCTATCCTATTAAATTGTTCATAATTCAACAGAAATTTCATGATTCGTCGGGGACATTCCTTGTGATCTTCTTAAATGAAGATATTATAAGCTAAAGGTTCATGTGCTAAGAACTCTTGAATGTGTTAGGAATACAGTTTTACACACACACACACATACACACACACTTACACATGTATTAAAGATTTATACGTGCTATTCATGTCTGTTGTGGGTGGTTGATGCGGCAGTGTCTGCGCCCCCTGTTATTCATCCACGACCACCAGTTTCGGAAACTGCTACACCTGTTAAATCAACTCCAGCACCACCACCTCCTACTGCAACAAGTGGTCCTCAAGGTGACAGCTAGTGCCTATTACATGGCAAAGTAAAATAAATCAATAAATAATAATATTTTTAGTGTTTTTAGTATTGCGTGCGGCTGGATTACTTTGAAAGGGGGCAATGATGATTTACTTGTGTTGCTGATTATTTCTTAGAAGTAGTTCTGGAGTAACTGTTGCTTTTTTTCTCAGAGTTTTTTTTCACCTAACTGTACCTTACGTCTTTTACTGCCTGCCTGTTTTTTTGTGTTAAAATATTCGTGTGTTGGGGAAAATACTTGAAGGTGTTTTGTTTCACTTTAGCAGGGGTAGTAATTATCAGGAGGTTTTTGTCTTTGTGCTGCCAATGTCACGTTGCTTAAAAAGAGTGTCTCTTTGTATCAGGAGCCAATCTCTTTGTCTTTGGTATTCCTGAGGATATGGGTGACAAGAAGTTGGCAGATTTGTTCACTCCTTATGGTACAGTTATTTACTCGAAGGTTGGGGTGGAGAAGGATACAGGTCGAAATAAAACTTATGGTACGGCTTTTTTTCCTTGTCTTGTATGTTAAATCATCTACGCAATTCTACTTGACTTTAGCTGCACAACTAGCCTATCTGCTCCTACTCTCGCATTCATGTCACCTATAATGAGTGTTTGTGATGGTATCTATTTTGGATTTGATTTGTACTTGTATTTGCCTTCGAGTTTACTCCTTGCAATTCTTAGAGAATTTGGCTCTCTAAGCTCAAGTTACACGTGCTGTGTTCTTAAACATTTTCTGTTGTTATTTAATGAGTTGAGGTTATTATTTGGATGTTTTGCTTTGTTGCTGTGTGAGTTTCGATCGCGAATTTATGGCCAGATTTCTTTGTCATGATTAATTTGAGAGAAAGCATTGTAATCTTCATAGTAGTGTTAATTGGCGAGGACTACACGTATCTCCAGGATATCATCTTTTTAAAATTCGGTTTTGATTTTGTCTATAAACTCGTTTTGTGTTCTGTACTGTTGGGCCGTTGCTTCCCTTATGTGTAGGTATCCCATTATTATCTTTTTGCATGCTTGAATCGTTGAGGGGTTGTTCTGGAATCCCTATGATTATGTAGAACATTTTAGTTCTTCGCTTTTTGTCTCGTCGCAAGTGTAGACTTTCGTCACAGTGTTGAACCGTCTTTTTTAAAAAAGAATTTTGGTCAATTTTTTGGGGTACTCATTATTTTAACTTAATCCTAGTAAGAGTCAATATTCTTTCTAGATGCGTACATGGCTTCTATTTACATGAAAGGAAGGTAACTTGACTTGATAAAGAGTTAAAAAAATTCAAGTTTCTAGAATGTAACTTTACCTCGTGTACCTCAAAAGAATAGTTTTTAGTGAACTTTTTGTATTAGTGCCCTTCAGGAAGGAGGATCACGTGATGCAATGGGCTTGTCAAGATACCGATGCTTTGACATAGTAATTGACTTTTCTTTTTACATGCCCTGTAGACGCTCAATACTAGTTTTAAATGAGGAATAGTATTTGTAGGCGGGAAAACTTGTGTATTGATTCGATTTATGTGCGAAGTTGGTGTGCTAGATCTTAACTCCTTGCCTTAGACTTGGTGAGAACTGCCAAGGACCGCGGATCATAGGGTTTTAAAAGAAGAGTATCTTGGGTTTTAGTTATTGACTACATGTTCTTAAATGCATTTACTGTCGGAACGTTTTGTGCAAATTCATGCATTTGAGAACATGTCAGTGGCTTGTATACATTATCTTAAATTTCGTATAGATCAGGATTATTTCCTCTTTCGATCTCTCAAAATGAGGTACTTAGTATATGATATTCGATCGTTTAAAAAGAGGGGCATCTATTTACTACTGAGGAGTCGTTCATTATTTAAACCGTTGAATTGCTAATATTGTTCGGAAAGTACATGAGTACAACAGAGAATTTTTGGATCTTCACTGCTTTTATATAACCTGAAAGCTTTTTGGTTTAAGTTGAATATCCGTGTTAGCAGTGGCTGCTGTAATCAAGTTATTTTTTGCAACTCGGTCTCTTGGTTCCCTTATTCCATTCTTCCCAAACAGGTTTTGTGTCTATGGATTCATCACAATCTGCTGAAGCAGCCATACAGCAAGTGAATGGCATGCTTATCTCTGGCAAACGCATTAAAGTGGAGTTGAAGAGGGGAGATACCGAAGGTCAAACACACCAACATCAGCAGAACCAGCAACTTCCGCATCCACAACACTCTCATCAACATCAACCTCCTTCTGGACCTGGTCCTACTAGATGGAACCAGAATCATAATGCGAGCTCTGGCTATCGGCCCTATTGAGCTAACTTCCTGAAGCATCTACACGGTTGGTGCATTCTTGGTTGTATTGTAAATTTGTTGCATGATATATTCTCTTTAGCAGAGTTCTTTTTCCGTAAGATCCGGTCATGGATTTTCCTGCATGGATTAGCGTTTATACGTGCTACAACTTCCATTCACTCAGGATTTGTGATTTCTTGTTCGTTTAATATATTTGAAGGCTTGTGCCAGGATTGCCTAGTTTATTAATAGCCTTAACCACCTTTCAGTTAGAGTTTGAAGGATTTTTGGAAAGTAACGTAGGTGTAGGTTTCAAGTACATGTTACTCCACTCTTAAAGCTTTTCTCCTGGTTTTAACGTAGTTGCACTTTTATCTGTATAGTGCTCTCAAGAATGGAACAGCATTCTGACGAACTACTGTCTTAGTTGCAATAATTTTATTAGTTATTATGTTCGCCTCTTGCCCGATTAGGTTCTCCCTAACAATACAACTACTTCACTACCTTTTTTTTTTTTTTTTTTTTTTTTAATTGAATTGAATTGAATTGAATTTTTAGCCTTTCTTGTTTTTCCGTTTTTCCGTTATTTATTTATTATTTATGAAGGGGGGGAGGACTGTGTGTAGTCGAAAATATGACAGTTTTTCGCTTTATTTTTCGCTTTACACATCCTTTCGGTTCTCTTTTGCTTTTCAATTAGCTCTTTTTCTGTTACCAAGTGCATGGCCACCTCTATTCTATATCTCGTTATTTTCGTTTTCCTTTTTAAGTTCTAGTACGTAAAAAGATACCTGTGTATTTCAAGGTCGCTGGACCGCATTAACGAGCTAGACCACTGGAATCAGCTATTGATGGATAAATAAAGAATTTGGATTGACATTCTGAATATTGGTGAGATTTATTTTCCAGTACAGCACCTGCTTCTGTACGTCGGGTTATTATCATTACATTTTACTTTCAAGTTTCAACGCTGTCTTCGCTCCTTGTCTGTTTAACGAGTTGGGTGTGTACATGAAGTACAGTTTCATTTGTATGCTAAGGTGAGCCTAATTAGAGAGTGCACTTAAAAAACGCTGTTACTTTTAAAGTGGAAGATGCTTCCATATACGCTTCGTGTTAATGGATCATGAGATTATCATTGTTGTAGCTGCTTTTGGATCATTTCTTTCCTGTTCTTAAATTGTAAATGTTTGCATGTGCGTATATGGAATAGGGAAGAGAAGCTTGCCGTTTAGAGGTGTGAAGTTCAAATAATTCCTAAATCGAAATTAACTTTCGTGTTTCTAGTGCTTGTGTTGTTTTCTTTGTTTGTGTAGGTATAATTATGTGCTTCTTAGTAAGATTTAATATTTGTAGGAGTACTTGTGTAGTTTTCAGTATGGTAACTACAACATCTTAATGCATCGAAGTACCACACTACGCTCCATTTTGAATATATTATTGTGAAGGACTAAAAATCAGCGTCCGAGTTTGTAGATTCATGTAGTACCTTTGTAAGTTACTGCTCGCAGCTTTAATGGGTTGTCATGTTCTCTTATGCTACGCAAGCATATTCTTTGTAAGACTGACAATGGATATCCAGCGGGGTTGGATGGTTTGGGCCAAACAGACGTACAGCAGGGGAAGCTGTTCGGTAAAACAAGGAATAGGTCCTTTTTGGTAGGAACATCTTCTCCTATCCATCTGAGTAGAATTTTCGAAGGTTGTCCTTTCAACACTAATAATTACCACCTCAATCCTGTTCGCAGTGTTATCTTTTCCCCTCCCTCTCTCCTTCCCCGTCCCCCTCTCCCTCTCTCTCTCCCTCTCTCTCTCCCTCTCCATGACTGGATTACCTCATGTATTAGTAAGACCTGGGCAATTGAATAATAGAGGAACTTCACGTACTGCTTAAATGGCTGGAGGATGTCATCACAGAATGAGGAAGCTAACTTTTATGCGTAAGCTTGAAATTTATTTGTGTTGTAGTGAATATTATGCGCCATTACCTCATGCTAGCATTCAACTTTTTAGGCATTAAGGATATTGGTAACGGCACCGTCTTCGAACCTGTAAGGTTCGGTTCTTTATTCAAATTATTCATGTTATTTCAAGTTTGCTGTTGATGAGAGTCCTGTTTACTCCACGCTATTACTATATTCAGTGAGGTGTAGCATCAATGAGGAGCTTTTAATTGCTCGAGGTTCCATATATTTCTGATTAGTTTTCTCGTTTTCATTTTAATGCTATCTGCGTGAGTGCTTCATTGGTTAAAGTACTTATCACGCCTGACATTTTTTGGTGTCGTTTCAGATAAGCATTTGATTATGGAATGATGTGCTTTTTATGAATAACTGAATTAGAAAGATTTGGTTTCCAGTTCCCAGACATCAAACGTCTGAAAACTGCTCAGAGCGTGTGGAAACACTGTTTCAACTTGCATCAACTGAATGTGGTACATCAGATTAGACTTAGTTAATAGTTAGTTATTTGCACTTCAACTGAGTGGCCCTGGATTTGAGATATGTTACTGTACAGCTGTGGTAATGATTAGACACAGTGAAGACATTTCACGCTGGTATTTCACATAACAGTACCTTTTCCATTTTTTTCTGTACCTAAAACTCAATCTGAATTCGTGGTGCTTTTTCTGCTTGGATTGATGATTCGTGGAATCTACTAACAGTGTGTATAAGACACCGTTTAATTACTAGATTACTTATACTCATGCCCTTGTATTCATACTACAGATGTGCCTTGAGAAGGTGGAGGCGTGCAAGAAAGTTAATTGTTGTCCTCTTGGCGATCTCATGATGCTGCCTCTTGTATGCATCTTTACCTTTAGACCCATCCAAATGTATTGATTTTTCGTAAGCATTGCTGGTAGATCCTTTACCTACTTTTTGTGTTTCTTCGACGCGCTTGCAGTGGCTTTGACCAAAATATACGTCTTGTTTGATTCTAATCTGCACTTTTTCACACGTAGTTGTCATTCTTTTCAAGGAAGTGCTTCTGTGGAAAACAATGCATTGAGACAAGTTGCTGATCGTGAGCACCCAGTTTCAGGTATTATGCCTTTCAATTACTTTCAACTTACTTCCTGTTATGGTATGTTGATATTGTTTTTGGTTCCTTTGTGGTTCTTGATTTGTTTCCTTACATGTGCTGTTTATGTTACATGTGTGTTATCCTTAATTTAATCACCAGATTATTACATTATTTGCTACCTTCGTGTTGTGAGCACCTGGTATGGTCACTTGGGCAATTAGTAATATTGAGAGATGTTAGGAGTTGTACAGCAGTATTATTACGATCTCAATTATTGTTGGCTCTATTTGATCCTGTAAATGCACATCATGACTTCTGGGGAAAAATTATTGAAAAATATTCAAATTCACTTGAATTTACAGTGGCTTTTATCATCGATGTGAACAAGTTTATAAGGGTTGAATTTTCTTTTTCATTGCACATCCATCAGTTAGCTCTAAAATTTAGCAAAGATGGTTAGTTTGCAGAAAGATGCATGTTTTGTGAACATAATTTGTGGATCATTTTTGTCTGCTACTGTTTAATAGCAGGCATGAGTAGACTTTATCTCACATGGCATACAGAAAACCATGAATGTCTAAACTGTGAAAAAATTAGATCAAATCGGGAATCAGGCCAAAATTGATATATGATAGTTAAAACTGTAAAAGTGCAGTGTGGATAATATCCGGTCAGAGAGATCCGATTATCACAATTTACTGCGACTGGAGATATGAATGAAAAAAATTATCTATTCAACATGAGTTCTGAAGCTTCAACATGAGTTTTGAATTTGAGGAGTATGTATCGTAAATTTAAATTTTTTCTTGAATTAATTTTGAAGTCATATTCTATCATTGAATACTTTATCGATACATAGAATAGATAAACTGATCTATTAAAGAAGTACTGTGGAGATATAGACAACTTGATGTTTTAGAAAACTTGATGTAAATATGTAATGGTTCAGAAACACTATTGATTGGAACTCACTAAGGTGGAGATTGTACTTCGTAAAAAGTACTTTTGATGAAAATGTGAACAAGATGAACTTGAGATAAAGTAGGAAATCAAGGCTAACATTAGGTGAACAATCTTAAAATAAACAATAGCTTTGTTTGTTTGTTGAAATTTATTCAAGATATAGAGAAGATTGTTACTTAGAAGCACAACTTCATTATCTCTACTTGAATAACTGACAATTTTTAATTTTTAATTTTTTTTAAAAAAATGGTCTTTATTTAAATGCTAAAAAAATATTACATATTCTTATGTAGGATTAAAAAAAAATGTTTCGGTTGATAAAACTTACATTCATCAAATTCTATAATATGTATGTCAATAGATCTATCTTTTATTTGACTAATATTTAGTAAATTTTAACATCAAAGTATTTAATGAAAATCTTCTATCTAATCTTGGTGAAATGTAAAAACAATTATATGTAAATATTTGTGACATATTGTAATTAAAGAACATTTTTTTAATTGTTTTTGGCTTATTATGTGGTGTGAATGATATTTGCAATAGGAATACAACAAATCTATTTATTAAATTTTTGAAAAAAATACAACAATTATGATGTATCATAAAAAAAAGAAGTTTAAATCAATGTGATATAATTTAAATTTTTATGCTTCTACACATGACAATTAAAATATCTTTTAATATATTTAGCCACAACCAAGTATATATTAAAAAAGATTTGTGGTTGATCCATTTAAAAATATCTTGAGATTGTAGTAAGAAAATGGTTTCAAATTAATTAAATTTATTTATAATTTTATTGTGCCAATTCCAAATCAATTGGTATGATTTTTAATTGGTTTGAATCCAATTAGAAACTAAATTAGAAGTGGTTTGGTATTAGTTTTTTTATTTGGCTTTTAGCTTGTATAATTTATACTTGAATAGGTTTATGATATTTACATATTGCATTATTATAGTACATTGTCATTGTCTATTCTTCACAATAGTGCAAACTTAGACCCTTTTATTAAATTGGAGTTGTTACATAAAAGACTAAAAAATTTCTTTGGCATTAAAAAATTACAGTTACTTCTTAAGCAAGAGTGTGAAAAAATAATATCTTTTTGATGAACAAATCTTGATAAAAGTGAAAGTAATATGTTCTTTACAACATTCATCAAATAATAAAAAATATATAATTGTTTAAATTTAATAACCTTAAAGGCCACAATATTACTATATATATATATATATATATATATATATATAGTTGCAGCTACAAATATTAGCTATCTAAAAAATATTTAACAAAGTTTAAAATCCAACTATAACTGTCCATAGAAATTTGCAAAGATATCCTTGAAATATTTCCAAGATCTAACAATGGAAACCTTAATTCAAATTAGGGTTTTACTTATATGAATTTGATATGGCATTTGGAGATAGCAAAGCATAGAATACCAAAAAGATTTATTTCTAGAATTATAAGAAATCAAAATCATATTAAAAAAAAAAACAAATAATATTTTAAAGTATTAATCAAGAAGTCCCAAGAACAATTCTTATATGATGAGAGCTAAGATTTTTACAATATAATAAGAATCTAAAGGCGTGTGGAAGCTATTAAAAACAACTATTGTGAAATATTTTAGTTGTATTGTGAGAATATCACAATAAGTAGAATTTGGACAATTTTTTTATACTATGTTGGATTTATTAAGCAAGTAAGTTAGGTATTATGCATACAACCTTGAGGAAAATTGGTCATGAAATTGAAGAAAATCATTGATTTAAATCAGTGATTAAATAAAATTCTACTTTTTTGAAGAGAAAAAATATACTACTAATAAGAGTTGTTTAAATGCAATATAATTGAGCTACATGCAATGTAGCCTAGAACTCATCAATAAAAATGTCTCTCTTTGTTTAATGTTTGTACAACATAAAGAATCATTATTTAGATTAAAGATACAATCTTATTTTTATTTTTATTTTTATTTTTTTAAATAACAAAAATATTTTTTCTTCGTATTATTCAATCATTTGTGGCTTTAAAAAATATCTAAAAAAACATATAAAAGACATAAAATTTTAAAAATAAATAAATAAATTTTATTTATATTTAAATTCCAAAAAATTGTAAGTAATATATTGTTTAAACAATGATGTCACAAATATAAGCTTTGAAAACAACTATGACTAATTTTTCTTGTAAGAATATATTTTTATTAAATTATAAAGTGGTTATGATACTTGAGTAATTACAATCTATCAACTAAATACTTGGATACAACACCATATTTATCTTAAAGCATAGGCAAACATTAAAATTACTTTGGAGTAATTACATCAATGTGTATAATATCTATTATTCTATTCAAGATTTATTTGATTCACTAACATAAGATTAATGATTGTTTGAAGGCAAATTGTTGTCAAAGAAGAGTTGTAGGAAGTTTTTTTTTTTTTTTTTTTTTTTTTTTATTATTTTTGGTAATTTATTATATTAGTACAGATTTAAATTAATTCTTTGTTGGTATTAAGTAATATTATATTTTATTATAATATAAAAGAACTATCAGATAAAAAAATAGGCAAAGACCAAAATTTATAAAAAGAATAATTTAAAATATCAATAGATATTGTTTTATGCATTCTTTCAAATAAATCAAATATAATTATAAATTTAATATATAATATTATTTTTATTTAAAAAAAATTCTATCTCTTTTATAAGGCTATGAATAGAATAGAATAAGGTAGAATATCAATATAATTACTTCAAAAAAAAGATTTTATAAAATTAATTCCAATAATAGTTATATCAATATCTCAAAAAAATTATTTGTAAGAAAAGGCCAAATTTAGACCTAGAGGCTCAAGAACAATTACTCATCACAAATACAAGATTCTTTTGGAGATTAGGATATAAAGTTAAGATACTATTTTTTAGACCATTCTAATGATGTAAGATTTTAAAGCTTGTGATGTAAAAAAGCTTGTTAACGAGGCAAAGAAAGTAAATTTTTTATAAGTAATACAATTTTGAAGGTAGTAAACATTAGAGTGATTTCCTTATTATATTTAAAAAAAATATAAGTTTAATTTATGATCAAATTTTTATAAGTCTATGGTTGAATAAGAAAAAAAATTTGATTTTAAATTTTTGTATCATTTTGAGAATGCAATTAAAAGATATTAGGATATACTTACAAAAAAAGTATCAATAATTGGAAAATTAAGGTAAGTTTCTAATCTTTTTACATCTAAAGATTTGGATATTGAACGAAACTAAAACTCAAGGTGTTAATACAAAAACATGAAATTTAAGTTACACAAAAAATTAAATTAAAAATTCACAAATAACTTTCAAAATTTTTCTATTAGAATTCCTTATTAAACTAAAAATATAAAGTTTAAATTTATAAATAAAAATATTATTGCACTGATTTTTAATTTATAAATTAATATTTTAAAACAAATTATGAATGTATACATGACTTATAAAGATAGAAAGATAAAAAATTAAATTTTATATAAAAATTTGATCAAGCTTAGTTGCCTATTGAAGTTTATTGTTTAAAATTTAGAATTATTTAGAATTTCATTAAAATTTAATTAAGATTTGATTAAGATTTTTCGAGATATTTTTAAATATTTTTCTTAAAATTCTACAGGATTTATTTTTAAATTTTTAATTGAAATTTGAAATGATTTAGATATAAGGATTGATAAGATGTATGTTCTAATGTCTATAAAATATAAGATGTACAATTTATAGTGTGTACAATTTATAATTGATAGGATTGTGAGGATAAATTTCACTCCTCAATCTAAATTACAAGACGGCCTTAATTAAAAGTTGTTTGGAATTGGTGGTATAAAATAAAGGAATTAAATAACAAAAAAAAAGATCAAACATAGAACAAGTAAAATAAATGAAATCAAGTAATGACACAACACAAAATTCGGTCACAACATGTTCACTAAGTTATCATCCAATAATATATATATATATATATATATATATATGTGTGTGTGTGTGTGTGTGTGTGTGTGTTTGAAAATTTTATTTTCTTATCTTTCTAATGATGTAAAAAATGTATAAATCCGAATTACTATGAATAAGTTATGAAGGTTTAAAAATGGCAACTAAATAATAAAAAAGTTAAATGAAAATATTTTATCTCAAGGATAATTTGCTTATAAATCAAGGATTCAAGCCTCACAAAGATTCATATATAGTGTATACAGATATTCTGGAGAGGTTACAAGGCCTTAGTCTTATCTTTCTAACTATATTCAAGGTGCTACAACCTATATGGGATTTCTGTAGTCTTCTTCCAACAAGGATTAAATTAGATGCGGTCTTCTTATTTTCTAGTAGTGAAATTAATATTTTTATATTTTTTACTTCACCATGGTG